CAGCTATGTGTTCCAGAAAGCCTACATGGATCTGCTCTGAGGCAGCACATGAACCATCTCTTGCTATGCACCCTGTAATACACAGGCCATACCACAACCTGTGTAACATGTTCTATTGGTCAAAATGCTCTGTGATATTCGCCAGTATATTCAACATTGCCTTTCCTGCCACCAAGCACATGGAGTGCGAGAGAGTTCCCATGGCAGAAGCCCCTCTTGCACTTTATCCTCTAGAGCGAATATCTATGCGTATTATGGACCTCGGGCAAGTCCCACTGAGGTTCATCGTGTTTTTTTTTTTTTTTCTTTTTGACAATTGGGTGACGTACTTCGGGCTACCTCGAGTCATCCAATCAGACAACGGCAGACAATTCATTGCTCACGTCTTTGTTTAGTGGGGATCCTACGAGCAACCCACCACTTCACTATCAGGTATCACCCTCAAGCAAATGGTCTGGTAGAAGGGACAAACCGTGTCGTCGTAGATCATCACCGAGAAAATCTAGCTCTTCGCCTTGTACTGAACTCTGCAATTCATAGATCTACAAGGGAACAGCCACTTTACCTACTTACTGGGCGCCATGCTTACTTTCCAATGGGTTTAACCAATTAAGCAATATTTGGGGAAAAGGACAACTTTAAGCAACGCTTGAGGACTGCTTGCCATGCTGCTGTTGCAGCTTCAAAAGAAGCTCAATAGGTTTTTAGTAGAAGCTATAACCAGGGAGCCAGAAGCAAGTTTACACCAGAAGGACAACTCGTCTGGTACAAGGAGATGGTGCCTCGTCCTTTAGGACCAACATGGCATGGTTCTACTCGTGTGTGCAAGCGGTTCGGTCCGGTCTCTTTTGAGGTACGGCAAGAGGGACTTCATTAACTTTAGGGACCTCATTTTGGTGCAGTAAGTTAAAAGGATCACATTTTTAACTCTATATCCACTCTTCATGAATCGTGAGGACTCAAGCTTGCCTATCATTTCGGATTTCCACTGCACGTTTCGACCCAGGGCGGGGGAGGAGTCTGTAAGGTGGCATCTCAGTCCTCCTCAACTCGGGCTTCCAAGATGCTTCTCGCCATTCATCTCTTTTTCGGCCGCGCCCGGACTTCGCTCGCCCCTGCTTTTTTTTTTTTTTTTTTTTTTTTGGGGGGGGGTGTCTAGTCTTTTTTTAGCCTTTTACTTAATTCTATTGCTTTTACCATTTTAGGTGACCTTTTTATTGTATTTTATGTTCGTTTTCTTTTTTTTTGCACAATCCTCTCATTTGCCTTGCTTTAAAAACTAAGTCATGTATTTTATTTTCTGTTTAACTTAATTTGTTAGATATATTTAATTTCTATTATCATCCCTATCTTTCGAGCATTTTACACTAGCCATCTACTTTTATATCTTTTTTGTTCAATATTTAAAAAAAATATTTCAACTTCAGACTATTTTTTTCTTTTCTTTTCTTCTGGCCTTTTTAAAATGTATGTTTTCGATCTTTAAAGGTGAACTCGATGATAAATAAATACGAAAGATGTACCATTCGTGACGTGGTTCATGGCGTCACGAATGCTATAAATACCGCCAAAAACGAGAAATATACTCAGTCTGGACCAGATATCCTGTGCATCACTACCTCCTGCGCGAAGCAAAACAAAGAGTTAAGTTCCGTTTTTTGACGTTTTGTTTTTCTTAGGAGCTGGACGCGACCCCCTTTTTTATTTAGTGATTGTCTTACATACTTAAACTGAATTTTATGTTTCATATTAATTGATTTATTAACCCGAGTAATTAATCAAGTGATTATTAACCTTCATTTTTTTTGTCTTTTGTTTTTTTTTCACAAGAAGACCCGTAAGGAGTGTTCCTTTTAACCGAGGCTTTGTTTTTTCACGATTTTTAAGATGCATTCATTTACTACTTTGCTTCTATGATTATTGTAAGAAAAAAAAACTAAAGGAATTATAGTTTATACAAACGATACCCGTAGGTTGAACGCCATGGAGTTGATGATTATGCTTTTTGTGTGTGTTTTGTGTGTTTCACGCTACCACTACACGGCATCTAGCCACGGTGAACCCATACATACACAAATACAATAGCCACAGAGCAAAAGAAACGCCTCACAGGTATATATGTATATATATATATATATATATATATATATATATATATATATACACATACATATACATATATATATATATATATATATATTATATATATATATATATATATATACATACATACACACACACACACACACACAACACACACACACCAC